CCACCACAGCCTCGACCTGCAGGGCTCCGGCGATCCTTCCACCTCAGCCTTCCAAGTAGCTGGAACTATAGGCACGCGCTACCACACCCGGATAGTTTTTGATTTATTGTAGAGATGAGGTCTTGCCAAGTTGCCCAGGCAGGTCTCGAACCCGCGGGCTCAGGCAATCCACTCACCTCAGCCTCTCAAAGGCACGGGATTGCAGGCTGAGCCACCGAGCCCAGCTTTATAGCCATTTTCTTTCTTTCTTTCTTTTTTTTTTTTAGTTGGAGTCTCACTCTGTCTCCCAGACTGGAGTGCAGTGGTATGCTCTCGGCCATGGCTGCCTCAACCTGCTGGGCTCTGGCGATCCTTCTGCCTCAGCCTTCCGAGTAGCTGGAACTACAGGCACACGCTACCGCTCCCGGCTAATTTTTGATTTATTGTAGAGACGAGGTCTTGCCAAGTTTCCCAGGCTGGTCTCAAACCCATGGGCTCAGGCAATCCACTCGCCTTGGCCTCCCAAAGTGCTGGGATTATAGGCTGAGCCACCGAGCCTGGCCCTGTTGACCATTTGTCTATCTTCTTTTTTTGCCCACTTTTTAATGGGGTTATTTGCTTTTTTCTTGCCTTTTTGGGGAGTTATTTGTAGATTCTGGATAGACATACAGTTTGCTAATATCTTTTCCCATTCTGTAAGTTGCCTATTTGCTCTGTTGATTGTTTCTTTTGTTGTGCAGAAGCTTTTTCGTTTAATTAAGTCCCACTTATTTATTTTTGTTTTTTGTTGCTTTTACTTTCGGGGTTTTAACAATGAATTGTTTGCCTAGGTCGATGTCCAAAAGAGTTTTTCCTAGGTTTTCTTTTAGGATTTTTCTGGTTTCAGGTCTGACATTTAAGTCTTCAATCTAGCCAGATGTGGTGGCCTCATGCCTGCAATCCCAGCACTTTGAGAGGCAGAGGCAAGAGGATTGCCTGAGCCCAGGGATTCAAGACCAGCCTGGTCAACAGTGAGATCTTGTCTCTACAATAAATCAAAAAGTTAGCCAGGTGTGGTGGCGTGTGCTTGTAGTTCCAGCTACTTGGAAGACTGAGGTGGAAGGATTGCCTGAACCCAGCAGGTTGAGGCTACTGTGGCCCATGAGTGTATCACTGTATTCCAGCCTGTGCAACAGAGTGAGAATCCAACTAAAAAAAAAAGGCTTTAATCCATCTGAAGTTAATTTTTGTATGTGGTAAGAGACAGGGATCGTTTCATTTTTCTGCATGTAGATATCCAATCTTCCTAGCATCATTTGTTGAATAGGGTGTTCTTTCCCCAATGTGTGTTTTTGTCTGCTTTGTTGAAGATCAGTTTGTGGTAGGTATTTGGGTTAATTTCTGGATTCTCATTCTCTTCCACTGGTCCATGTGTGTGCACTCCGGTACCAGTGCCATGCTGTTTTGGTTACTACAGCCTTGTAGTATAATTTGAAGTCAGGTAATGTGATGTTTCCAGCTTTGTTTTTTTTTTCGCTTAGGATGACTGGGTTTTCTGGCTCTTTTTTGGTTCCATATGAATTTTTTCTAATTCTGTGAAAAATAACATTGATTGTTTGATAGAGATTATATTGTATCTGTAGATCACTTTGGGTAATATGGTCATTACCCAAAGTATTGATTCTTCCAATTCATGAGCATGTGTTGTTTTTCCATTTGTTTGTGTCCTCTACAAATTTTTTCATCAGAGTTTTGTAGTTCTCCTAGTAGAAATCTTCACCTTCCTGGTTAAATATATTTCTAGGTATTTAGTTTTTTGGTTGCTATTATAAATGGAATTGAGTTCTTGATTTGATTCTCAGCTTGGTTGCTATTGGTGTGCTACTGAAATGTGTGTGTTGATTTTGTATTTTATAACTTTATGGAATTCATAAGTCAAGTCTAGGAGTCTTTTGGAAGAGTCTTTAGGATTCTCTAGGTATAAGATCATATTGTTGGCATACAGAGATAGTTTGATTTCTTCTTTTCCAATTTGGATATTACTTTATTTATTTCTTTTTCTTGCCTGATTACTCTGTCTAACACTTTCGATGCTATGTTGAATAGGAGTGGTGAAAATGGGCATCCTTGCCTTGTTTGGGCATCCTTGCCTTGAAGCGGAATGTGTTCAATTTTGCTCTGTTTTGGCTAGATAACCCTGCTGTAACTTTTAAGTGGGAAAAACCAAATGTATTTACAAATGCAATTATGATTACACCATCATGTAGTTATAGATAAATTTAAGCACTGATCATTTTATCACTTTGTTTCATCATGGACTTTACTATTGGTTACATCTAAAACTTTAGATTTGGCTTTATTTGAGATTGTGTGATTATTCATTCCTCAAGCAGGTTTCTATTTTTCTTTGTATTAAAGACTACTGCTAAATATGAAGCAGTTGATACCCTCCTTTTCAGGGAAAATGTTTTATTCTTTTTATAATTCAGTTTTCTGTTTGCCAATAAAATGTGTATTTATTATTGAAAAATTATAAAGTATAGGAAAAGAAAAAGATTACTCATGTTTCCACTTTGAGAATAACATTTGGGTATATCTCCTTTTGGACTTTTTTCTATGTTTTTGTAGGTATGATTTAAATTTTTGATTAGAATCATACTTTTTATCTTATTTTTATTCTGCCTTTTAAAAATTTAATATAAACATTTTTACCATCAGGAGAGTTTTTTTCGCAGTAAATATTAGTTATTTCCTGATATTTTGCTGCACTTTGGAGAGAAGTCTATAATAGTCCTATCAGTGATTCTAGTTCAAATCCACAGCTACCGAGCTAGACTTGGAGCAGACTGGTCAGAGCTTTAGCGAACTCTTAGACTTTACTTGCTACTAAATTCTTTCTTCTTTCTCCCTCTTTCAGGTAGCAATGAGGTGATGAGGATGCTGATCTCTCGAAGCCTGATTCTGGAGTAGCACCTACATGTGATACTCTGGCATGGTGTTAATTGTGCAACTGCAGTCAGTGTGGAGTGGTGCCATGTGGGTTGTTTTGTTCCAAATGAATCATGGATTGGACTGAAGGACTGAGCTCTTTCAGGGTGGGACATGCACTCTGCATGTTGGCAGCAGTGTCAGCTTTTGGACTGGAGCAGCATCCTCAGTGAACTAGAAGAGCCGCTTGATGAGAAATGTCACAAAAAGACATACTGCCTTGTTTTCCTAATGCCAGAAAGGTGACCAGTGAAGATGCATCGTCAAACTAGAATTTTTCCTTGGATGCATGTTGTCTTGATTTGTCTGCATTTTGCTGGTTTATTGAATCCCTCTTCTTCTAGGGTCCTGGGTACTTTTATAGAGGTTTTTCCTGATTATAGAGCAAAGGTATAGGGAGGGGAAATGGAGAGAAAATGCCCCCCTGGTCTGTTTTCATTCTCTGTGCCTCGGTTAAAGATACAGAAGGTTTCTCTAGATAACACTCCTCTGAATGTAAATCATGAGAAAATGAATATTTAAGAAACTACTCCTAAGCTGTGATTTAGGATGTATTTCTACTTCTAGATTACCTGAATATCAAAGGCTGAGATTATTTGGAATTTTGAGTTTTTGTTGTTTTTGTTTCTTAGAAGTCTATGATCTAGAATGACTTTCAGGGCTTCTCTTTCTGATAAGTACTTTGAGTATATTATTTTCTGACTTTTTGTTTCCTTTTTTGATGCTCTTCCTTTTTGGAAATATTTTTAATTACTACATTGATAAATAAAATATATCCTTTCTGTACTGTCTCTGGTTCCACTAAAGATGATTTTTATTTTATTTTTTCAACTAAGCCTTTACAACTATTTATACATTTTTATTCTATTTGATTAAAAATTTAATTGGATTTTGAAGTAGTAGTCCAAAGTTTTTTCTTGACCAATTTGGCTTTTAAAAACTAGCCTCCTTAAATTATTAACAGCTTTGCAATCAAGCATTGTTTATGATGTACTAAAGAAAATTTAAAGTAATATCCAAAGATGGAGACTTTTTGGGGATTCCTGTTACAAATGACCATTACATGACTCCATCCTTTCTCACCTCTAATAGAAAAAAATATGCAAGATATTTTGTTAACTACAAGTCAGTGTTTAGAGAGAACAAAATATGCATCTGTAGCTACAAATATATTCTTTTTTGAATGCATACTCTGCATAAGGAACTGTGCTTGGCACTCCAGGGGGGCCTGGGTGTGGGTATACTACCAAGTTCAAAATGTATTTCTCCCACTGAAGGGCTTATTTAATAGAGGAGCTAGGACATGGCTGTAGTGCAAAGCAATGATACAACTACATAAGGCTGAGAGGACAACCTGGCAAAAGTGATAAGGCAAGAAGGAACTCACAGAGAAAGCAGGAATTCATATCAAGCTTTTATTAAAATATATACCATTTAAAGAGAATAAAAACATCAGTTTCAGGTGAAAAAGAACCAGGAGCAAGAAAAATACAGGATTTGTGTGAAAACTGTTTACACTTTTAATTATGGTTTGGGGTTGGCACAGGAGGAAGAAAATGTAAGTTGAATCTGGATGGGGAGTTATGAAAGCCAAGGGGGAGATTTTATTTGGTGAGCAGTGGAGAGCCATGGAAGATTTTTAATGAGGAAGTTATGATGAGATAAATTTATTCATAAGAACATTCTGGAATGCATATGCAGGATAAATGTGAATAGAGAAAGACAGAAAATAAAATGTACCCAAACAATTGGTTCTCAAAATAGTCAAAGTATGAGACAATTTGAGCCTGAACTTGGAAGGTTAAAGGAAAGACTGATGTGAGCCAACATAGGCATGTCCACTGTGAAGCTTGAAGACCTCCCTAGTAATCAGGCTGGTCTCTCACGTTCCAATTCTGGGAGGTTCCTAATCTGACTTAAAGCAAACTCAGATACTATGTTGATTGATGTCTTTGTTCCCTTGGTAGGATTTTGATGAAATGATAGTTATTAAAAATGTACTTCTCATTATCACCCTCGGTTATTATTCAGAGATTTCAGTTTCCCAGTATCTTGGCAAGAGATTTGACAAATGTAGCAAGAACATAGTGAACTTTGGCTGTTTCATAAAAAGGCAAAAAAAATGGAGCAACAAACATGTAAGGAAAACCTGTGTGTCAGATGTCATAGTATGTGCAAGATGTATACAGATGACCAAATATGAGAGGAGGATCCCCAAAAACCAGAATTATCTTTTGGAGGGTGGGCCCCTTGTAGTACAATCGGAATTTTTTCTTCCGGATCAAATGGTCAACCTAATTTTTAGCTGGAAGTTTTGAGAAGACTGCATCACAATCTGCAGAAGAAATATCTCAAGTTGTGGCAAAGAGGTAATTGGTTCCTCCACCATGCCAATGCACCTGCCACACTGTGCTGAGTGTTCAGCAGTTTTTGACCCCAAACTGCATGACCTCATGCCCACCCTTCTTATTCACCTGATCTTGCCCCAAGTGACTTTTTTTGCTGTTTCCTGGATGAAAAAAGTCCTCAAAGGGAAACATTTTGCTGATGTGGAAGAGGTGAAACAAAAACGGCAGAAGTACTAAAAGGCACCAAAATTGACAAATTCAAAAACTGTTTTGAGCAGTGGAAAAGGCATCTCAATAGGTGTATTGCATCAAATGGGGAGTACGTTGAAGGTGACTGCAGTTTAAACAAATGAGAATAAATACACAATTTTTTACAAATAATTTTTTCTTTTGGAGTCCCCCTCATACAATCTGACTCTGACAGACCTTATGGACTGGGAAGGCTGGTAAATAGGAAACAATTTCAGTATGTGGTGGTAAGAACAAAGACGTGCACAGAATGCTCTGGGGCATTAGCAGTCTTGTAATCATACATAATGACTTAAGCTGGAATTGGATTTCCATGTTGTCTTAACCCTAATAATTCTTCAGACCACTTCCAATTGTAATTTCACAGTTGTGGGGAGAATCTAATTGCTTTAATTATATGTGTATTTTAAAAACAAGAATATCTTAAAATTTTCTCTTCATCCTGTATAGATTTGATAAATTAGAAACACCTTATCTGCTGTAGAGCTTATCTGGTTATACTTTTACTTTGAAAACACTAAGATTTCTCCAAAGCACTTTCTTATGAATTATCTGTGTATCGCTTGATTTTTGCAAGAGAGTTCTTGCACAGAGGAGGCACTCAAGAGATACTAGTGTTAAACTGATGCGAGTTGACAACAAATACCAGTGCTGCTGGCAGATCCAGAAGTTGGGCCCCGGATTCAAGCTTCTACATCTGGATATGATTGCCAGCTCTGCCACTAATTGTGTGACTAAGCAAAATTGCTTAAACTCTCTTTAGCTTGGTTCCTTCTATGCATATTGGAGATAAAAAGTTCTTACCTCATAGGACAGTTGGTGAGTCAAATGAAAGAATGCACATAAAGGGCTCAGAACTGAGTATATTAAGCAATACACTCTCAATAAATATTAGCATTATTGTTAGTCTCATTTTAAAGTGAATATAGTGAACTGTAGAAAGAATAAAGGACTTACTTAGACTTATTCAGTGGCAGACTGAAGTTGTAAAACACACCCTTCCAAGAGCCTTTAAAACATTTAAGAGTGTGACTGGTAGTCTGCTAGTGCTGAATACTTCCTATTACCTGGTCTGCCTCTCTCAAATGACAGGATAGCATTTCCCTTTTGCCAATTCTACAAAAACATATAAGCACATGAACATATTGCTAAGATTTCTCCTGGGATTTTAGAGGGGGCTGATACAGGTTACAGGCCCAGAGGCTTAAGCTTCATTAGCTTCACAGTAAATATCCCGTTGTCCATTCTCTTTGCATTGTCTAAACATTTCTATATACATTATTCTCACCTAAAATTTGTTTTCTCTTTGGTACTCAAAAAGCCTTATTATTCCTGGGTAATAGGATCAGCAAAACCTTACATGAACTGATGCGCTCTCTGTCAAGAGTAGACAGGGTGAACTGTCACAATGTTAAATAGACCAGCACAATATGGTCTCCATGTCACCACTTCCACAGTTCCAGATTGGTGATCCCCACTGGAAGGCAGAGAAAAGGGATACACAGAGGCCAAAAAGCAGAGTGGGAGACTCAATGGATTAGGTTTTCCAACTGATAATCAAATCCCAGATGCTTGGTGACTTGTGGCACAAAAATAGTCAAGGTATTTTGGAAAAATTTGCCACTACAACCCCTTGTGGTGAAAAAACAAGGCCCCAAAAGCTGCTTCTACCTGCTCATGGCTGAAGCAGGTTTCTCTCTCATTTCTTTGTAAGCAAGAGTAATGCTGTGAGTTCGTCATTTCTCTTTACTTTTTACCTTATCCATTTTCACCCAGCCTCTGGATCCATAGTCCGGAACATCCAGGATCTGTGGAGAGTACTAGAATAATTACCTCCTATTATCACATCAGAAAGGAATCTCAGGTTGCCTCTAGTCAGGCATTTTTAATCCCCACAGAACAGAAAGAGGGATGTCCAGTTCTCCTTACCACAGTCAAGGAGGAGGGCATCTCAAACCTGAGTAACCATCACTGCTCTGGGGCCTGTGATTTACTTCCTATGTAGTCTACTCAGTCTTTGATTCAGTTCTCTCCCTCCCCAACTTTATGGGCATTACAGTTTTCTTAAGTTTTCATAAAGAGCTATATAAGCAATACTCCAAGATGTCTGCTGGTTACCTTCTCCAACCCTCACCCAGATGAAGGCCCTGAGCCTCTCACACACAGTAATTCTGGTTCTTGTACAGAAAATCTGAAAGTATTACCATTTTGTCTGTAAATCAGTCTGTGGGCATAAGATTCCTCCACTAGACTTTAAGGTCATCTGAGTCTGAGAAACATATCTTCCTGGCACGTAGTAGGGAACTCAAGGATTATTGAACAAATATAAAAAGATTCTAATAAAGCCACCATCACCAATGTGATACTAACTGCTGCTGCTGGCAAATCTCACGCAGGAACAGGCAAGACACATCACCAAAAGTCAACTAACCAGACACACAAGAACTTGGATAGACTTCCAGGGAAATGTGATAAGTGAAAATGCAGATTCAAAGTTGACATACTGAGTGATTCTTATGTGGCATTCTTAAAATAATGCCATTATAGAGTTCAAAAACAGGTTAGTGTTGCCAGGGATTAGAATCAGGAGAGAAATGTCCATAAAGGGGTAGCAGGGGAATCTTTGGTTCCCAGGCAGTCTGCAGACCAAGCCTTCTACCTTTCCAGTTATGCAGGGACAGCCCCATTACTGCCTCCATACCCTGCATTGCATTTTACAAAGCTTACATAGGGAACAGGCAACCAAGGGTTGGAGCCAGGTAAAGGTGAGAGACAGGGCAGTGGTGAGGCAGGTGCTTGGGGCTCTGTGGCTGAAATTCAGGCCCCCTGAGGGCAGGGTTCAGGAAGCCTGTTCCCCACCACTCCTCAGAAGGATGCCCAACCAGAGGTGAGGCCTTTTGAGGCCCAAAGCTCTGAGAAAGCTGCTATGCCCCCTCCGTACTCCCACAAATAATATTAAGCTGTAAAGGTCTTGTATGCCAAGGAGTTGGATTTTATTCTGCGGTAACTAGATATTCACATGAAAAAGAATGAAAGTGAATGCTTGTACATACACAAAAAAACTCAAAACGAATGAAAGATTTAACCTTAAAC